TTCATCCAGTAATACCTTACTTAACTGTGATTGGTGGAATAAGAGGTGACGTCATCAAATTTCAGCCAATAGGAGAACAGAGCAATCAGTCAGCACAACACCCCAACTTATGCTTTGCTGTTGGATATTTATTCTCGTTTCACTATTTAAATTCTGGGAGATATGACATTAAATAAATACACCGCCCATCGCATTTTCAGTATTATCGCAACCTGAACAATAAAAAGGAGAATAAATATCCAACAGCAAAACATAAGTTGGGGTGTTGTGCTAAATGATTGCTCTGTTTTCCTATTGGCTGTAATTTGATGACGTTACCTCTTATTCCACCAATCACAGTTAAGTAAGAGATTACTGGAAGAATGCACTATGTACGACACAACTATCCATTGTTTTGGGGCGCCGCCTCCCCTAGGAGGGCCTATTGTGAGCCACAGGCCTTGGTAGGGTCCCTGGGAGCAGTGGCACCCCTTAAAGAGGCCAGGGGGGAGCCACCGACTCTGGAAGGGCCCCTAAAGGCGCCACGCCGCTGGCAGGGCCTCTAGGAGAGCCTCTGGTTGCACCACGGCCCCTAGGAACGTACCTGGAGGCGCCCTCGTCCCTGGAAAAATCCTGGGATCACTACTGTCCATGAGGGCCCTCAGGTCGCCAGCGCCCCTAGCAGGCCCCATGGGGGCCTCCCTACATGTCTGTGAGGGTCCTAGGGCGTTGCCCGTCCCTAAGGGCCCATGGAGCTTCGGCTGTTTCTGGAGGCCTAGGGAACGCCGCCATCCTGAAAGAAAGCCCCTAGGTTTCGCTGTCCCTAGGCGCTCCTGGTGGATCCAGCGCCCCTGACCTTGGGGTCCCTGGGGCACCGCTGACCCTATGAGAGGGGGCAGGGGCGCCACCGTGCCTGGCATGGGCAAGAGTGACCTCACAGGGGATAACGTCGATCCAGGGTCCACTTACAGGGACAACGCCTTCAGGGGGTGTTCCCAGGGACAGCGACGTCTGAGGAGCTCTACCTAACAGTGGAACCTTCAAGGGCCCTTCAGAGATGGTATAGCCCGGGGTACCTCTTTGCGCGCCACCCACAATTACCTGCCAGGGCCAGGCGGCGCTGCTATATGGGCCCTCCCTGGGACCGGCAGCGCTACTATGGGCCCTACTACTGGCAGTGGTGCCTTTCCAGGGGCAACAGGGTCTCTGCCGGGGGTGAAAGGCGCCCCCAGGGGCCCCTACACATGCGGCATCGCCCAAAACTTCATAGTTTGTCGTACATTTTGCATTCATCAGTAATCCCTTACTTAACTGTGATTGGGTAGAATAGAGTTGTTTGACCTCATCAAATTACAATAATAGAACAGATCAACAGTATCGGCACAACACCCCAACCCTCTTTGCTGTTAGTCAACTACTCTCGTTCCTGTTAAATTCTGGGAGATATATGCCTTTGACGTTAAATAAATACACATATCGCATTTTAAAGTATTATCGCAACCTGAAGTATCAAGAGTAAATATCCAACATGAAAACATAAGTTGGGGTGTTGTGTTAATTGGTATCTGTTTCCTATTGGCTGTAATTTATTGACTTTATCTTATTTACTAATCACAGTTAAATAGAGATTACTGGAAGAATGCAATATGTAGGACACCACTATCCATTGTTTTGGGGCGCCGCCTCCCCTAGGAGGACCTTTAGTGAGCCACAGGCCTTGACCAAGGTCCCTGGGAACGTGGCAGAGCCATAAAAAGAAACCTGGGAGCCACCGCCTCTGGAAGGGCCTGAAGGCACCTGGGGGGGGGGCCTCTGGGAGGACCACGGTCCCTAGGAACGTACCTGGAAGCGTCCCCGTCCCTGGAAAAATCCCTGGGGTCACTACTGTCCCTAAGGGCCCCTCGGGTCGCCAGCGCCCCTAGCAGGCCCCATGGGGGCGCCACCGTGTCTGTGAGGGTCCCTAGGAGCGTTGCCGTCCCTAAGAGGCCCATGGAAACTCGGCTGTTTCTGGAGGAGCCCCTGAGAACGCCGCCATCCCTGAGAAAGCCCTAGGATTGCCGCTGTCCCTAAGAGCGCTCCTGGTGAATTCAGCGCCCCTGACAGGTCCCCTGGGGGCACGCCGACCCTGAGAGGGCCTTGGGGGCGCCACCGTGCCTGGCATGGGCAAGTGACCCTCACAGGGATAACGTCGATCCCAGGGTCACTTACAGGGACGAAAGCGCCTTCAGGGGTGTTCGCAGGGACGGCGACGTCCCCAGTGGCTCTACCACAGCGGTGGAACCTTCAGGGGCCCTTCAGAGATGGTGTCTAGCCCGGGGTACCTCTTTGCGGCGCCACTGCCCACAATTACCCTGCCAGGGGCTGCGGCGCCCCTATGGGCCCTCCTAGGGTCGGCGGCGCTGCTATGGGCCCTGCTACTGGCAGTGGGTGCCTTTCCAGGGGCGGCAGGGTCTCTGCCAGGGGTGAAGGCGCCCCCAGGGGCCCTTCCACATGCGGCATCGCCCCAAAACTTCATAGTTTTGTCGTACATTTTGCATTCATCCAGTAATCCCTTACGTAACTGTGATTGGTGGAATAAGAGGTGACGTCATCAAATTACAGCCAATAGGAGAACAGATCAACCAGTCAGCACAACACCCCAACTTATGCTTTGCTGTTGGATATTTACTCTCGTTTCACTATTTAAATTCTGGGAGAATGACTTTTGACGTTAAATAAATACACGAACCATCGCATTTTCAGTATTATCGCAACCTGAAGTATAAAACGGAGAGTAAATATCCAACAGCAAAACATAAGTTGGGGTGTTGTGCTAATTGATTGCTCTGTTTTCCTATTGGCTGTAATTTGATGACGTTATCTCTTATTCCACCAATCACAGTTAAGTAAGAGATTACTGGAAGAATGCAATATGTACGACACCACTATCCATTGTTTTGGGGCGCCGCCTCCCCTAGGAGGACCTTTAGTGAGCCACAGGCCTTGACAGGGTCCCTGGGAGCAGTGGCGAACCATAAAGAGGCCTGGGGGGAGCCACCGCCTCTGGAAGGGCCCCTGAAGACGCCCTGGGGGGGGGGGGGTGTTCTGGAAGCACCACGGTCCCTAGGAACGTACCCGGAAGCACCCCCGTCCCTGGAAAATTCCTGGGGTCACTGCTGTCCCTGAGGGCCCCTCGGGTCACCAGCGCCCCTAGCAGGGCCCATGGGGGCGCCACCGTGTCTGTGAGGGTCCCTCGGAGCGTTGCTGTCCCTAAGGGGCCCATGGAAACTCGGCTGTTCCTGGAGGAGCCCCTAAGAACGCCGTCATCCCTGAGAAAGCCGCTAGGATTGCCGCTGTCCCTAAGAGCGCTCCTGGTGGATCCAGCGCCCCTGACAGGTCCCCTGGGGGCACCGCCGACCCAGAGAGGGTCTTGGGGGCGCCTCCGTGCCTGGCATGGGCAAGTGACCCTCATAGGGATAACGTCGAACCCAGGGTCGCTTACAGGGACGAAAGCGCCTTCAGGGGTGTTCCCAGGGACGGAGACGTCCCCAGGGGCTGTATCACAGCGGTGGCACCTTCAGGGGCCCTTCAGAGGTGGTGTCTAGCCCAGGGTACCTCTTTAGGGCACCACTGCCCACAATTACCCTGCCAGGGGCTGCAGCGCCCCTGTGGGCCCTCCTAGGGTCGGCGGCGCTGCTATGGGCCCTGCTACTGGCAGTGGGTGCCTTTCCAGGGGCGGCAGGGTCTCTGCCAGGGGCGAAGGCGCCCCCAGGGGCCCTTCCACATGCGGCATCGCCCCAAAACTTCATAGTTTTGTCGTACATTTTGCATTCATCCAGTAATCCCTTACTTAACTGTGATTGGTGGAATAAGAGGTGACGTCATCAAATTACAGCCAATAGGAGAACAGATCAACCAGTCAGCACAACACCCCAACTTATGCTTTGCTGTTGGATATTTATTTTCGTTTCACTATTTAAATTCTGGGAGAATGACTTTTGACGTAAAATAAATACACCGCCCATTGCAATTTCAGTATTATCGCAACCTGAAGTATAAAACGGAGAGTAAATATCCAACAGCAAAACATAAGTTAGGGTGTTGTGCTAATTGATTGCTCTGTTTTCCTATTGGCTGTAATTTGATGACGTTACCTCTTATTCCACCAATCACAGTTAAGTAAGAGATTACTGGAAGAATGCAATATATACGACACCACTATCCATTGTTTTGGGGCGCCGCCTCCCCTAGGAGGACCTATTGTGAGCCACAGGCCTTGGCAGGGTCCCTGGGAGCAGTGGCGCCCCATAAAGAGGCCTGGGGGGAGCCACCGCCTCTGGAAGGGCCCCTGAAGGCGCCACGCCGCTGGCAGAGCCTCTGGGAGGGTCTCTGGGAGCACCACGGTCCCTAGGAACGTACCTGGAGGCGCCCCCGTCCCTGGAAAAACACCTGGGATCACCGATGTCCCTGTGAGGGGCCCTCGGATCGCCAGCTTCCCTAGCAGGGCCCATGGGGGCGCCGCCGTGTCTGTGAGGGTCCCTAGGAGCGTTGCCGTCCCTGAGAGGTCCATGGAAACTCGGCTGTTTCTGGAGGAGCCCCTGAGAACGCCGCCTTCCCTGAGAAAACCCCTCGGATTGCCTTTGTCCCTAAGAGCGCCCCTGGTGGATCCAGCGCCCCTGACAGGTCCCCTGGGGGCACCGCAGACCCTGAGAGGGCCCTGAGGGCGCCTCGGTGCCTGGCATGGCATGGCATTTAAATTCTCGGAGATATGACGTTAAACAAGCGTCTTTTCTGTTTATATTTCATCTGCGTTCTACACAAATACTACATCACACAAACTGTATCAAGTCTACCTCTACATACAGATATTTTAAATCTTACTTGTTCTAAAATGGCTTAGTCTAATTAGAAAGATGTGTTGATGAAAAAGCCACTCGACTGCGTCCGGCAACAGATGTCAACAAATGGCCGTCACTCCCCACCACCACCTTAAAAGAATATGTATAATTTCTATAATAAAGGAACAATTATTAAAACTCTCATTAGAAACCATATGTACATTTATTTCACAGTATCACTAAACATTGTCACATATTATAAAAGTTTACTGTGAGGCAAGAACAGATAACAGTCATGTTTTTTGCAGCATCGTGGATAATCACTCGAGCCTGATAATGGAATATTGCAACCATATTTTTCTGATTTTTTTTTTACTGAATTAAATAATCTGTATCTAATCTTTCCTCTCTTCATTGTGTGGGTAAAAACTCTAGTACAGTGACGTACTAACAGCGGTGAGAGACGTATATTATAGCGTAAAGATTCTAAAAAAGAGAAAAAAGTTGTGAATGCCAAGGAAGAATCGGGAAAAATATACACACAAAGTCTTTAGCAAAGCAGAGAAATAGCTTTACCATCTTCAATATTTCAACTTAATCCAATATATAAAACATATATATAGATATATATATTTCCGTGTTTTGAAAAGTCCATTTGGTATTTGCTGTAAGTACAATCCCTTAAGACACTCAATCTTTAATAAATAATAATGATCCCTTGCTCGAGGCGCCATTAACAATATTACTGGAGCTTCGAGAACGTTGATCACCACAGCAACAACATGAAACACAACTCGGTAATACTTTTAATCACAATGGTATTATCTCTTGACGTCTAATGAATAATTGATAAAAAATATATATATTTTCTTGTTGGAAATGTTCAAGAATAGATTTGTTTAGGGATTTAGTTATATATGTACTAATGTTTGTGTGTATGTTTATGTGAGTGTTGCCTCCACATAAAATAGACGCACATTAAACACAATTTTTATAGGTTTATTTTAATATCTGTTTTATATTAATTGGACCAACTAGTTATATAAACCTTTTCAAAGAATCCATAAAATAAAGTTAATAGGTTCCTGCACGAGTGGTGTAATGGTGGCAGGTCTACCTTCTATTGTACCTGAACCCTCTTCCCTCTCCTCTTTCCCTCACCTCGACTCCTCAACACAAACACAGGAGGGGGGAGGGAGGGGGAGGGGACACAAATACAATGTCCTATTTTTTTTTTTCATTTTTTTTTATATATATACAGTGAAAAGTCTATTAAACGGATTATATGGAGAGGAAAGTTTGCTATACCGAGAATCCGTTAGATGTAAAAAAAAAACCCTCCAAACTAACGAACTACATACATATGAAAATCCGTTATATGGAGGTTTTTCACTGTACGATTTAAGGGATAGCTTAGCGGCGTTTAGCGACCGGCGGCAGCGGCGGCGGCAGCATCTGTAATAGCCGTCTCACAACCTGGTACGCTCTCTGGCCAGTCACAAACATTCTGGGCGTGGTTAAAGACGAGGTTCACTGGGCAGGGCATATGATGTTTCCTCTCGCCCTCACACATGTAATAACGAGTACAGTCTAATTTATCTTCGTGGTAGCTAATGTGCCCGTCTGCCTCATCACACACGACCACTGTTGCTGTAATGGAGAGGGAGAGAGTAAGGTGAGGGAAGGAGAGACAGGAGGTGGAGAAGGAATGGAAAGAGGATGGTAGGGTGAAGGAGAAGGAGGTGGTGAAGGAAGGAAAGTAGTTGAACACTGTCTTATACTAGGCACTGGCACTGATCAAGGTACTTTACACAGACAGTTACTAACCAAAGTACTTTACACAGACAGTTACTAACCAAAGTACTTTACACAGACAGTTACTAACCAAAGTACTTTACACAGACAGTTACTAACCAAAGTACTTTACACAGACAGTTACTAACCAAGTTACTTTACACAGAAACAACAACTTTATACTTACGATCTTTCTTGGCACTGGTACCATCTAGAGTGCCAGTATTCTCATAGGGTCCTTCATAAGTGAGTTCCACGGTGTAGTTTGAGAGACCCGTGGTGAGGGTATTAAGGAGTGGGTATTTGCCCGTGCCGCAGTTACCCCTGAAGTCATCCATGTCAACACTCCATACCATAACTCCTCCCAGTCCTTCTGCCTTGAGCCAGTCAGTCTGAGAAAACAAAAAGTAGAGTATTAATTAAAGGAGAGAGAGAGAGAGAGAGAGTGAGTGAGAAAGAGTGTGTGAGAAAGAGTGTGTGAGAGATAAACGCCTAACAGAAAGATAAATAGGTACAAGAGAGAGAGAGAGAGAGAGAGAGAGAGAGAGAGAGATACTAACCTTAACAGCAAGAGACCTTTCATCATCAAATCCAAGCCACTGATTCCCACGGTAGGCAAAGGGTACTTGTTGCTCGTTGTCCCAGACCAGTGTAGTGTTGTCCTCAAACAAGAACTCACACACCTGCCGAAAATGATTAATTAGCCCTATAGGTAACTTACACACCTGCTAATTAGTACATACCTATTATATCAAAAACCTTTATCATTTATTTAAGTGGTCACTGATAATCTGGACCAATGAGAATACTAAACAAGTAATAATTGACCTCTGACCTCGTAATAGGCCATAAAGCCGGCCTCCTGGGTGTAGCGGGATTCAAGACCTCCCCCAGTGACCTCTGCCCCAATGTCGAACTTGTTTGAGTCAAGGAGGGAGAAGGAACGACCATAGGTGGGCATTCCTACCATGATCTTCTGGCCTGGTGCTCCCTGCTTCTTCCACTCCCTCACGCTGTAGTCCTGCAGGAGTAAGGATAGGTGAGGACTTGGTGGTAGGGTCCTATAAGAGTCCCCCCCCACACACACACCCTCAAAATCAAACCAACATAACAAAATTTCCCGTCAAAGAAACATGACAAAACAAAGGAAAAAATCGACTTACAACAGTGAGTTTCTTCTGGTAGGACGAGGAAGATTCAAGCGGCAGTAGAGGTGAGTTATGGCCCACTTGGTTCTCCCACAGACCATGGAAATCATAGGACATAATGTTAATGAAGTCCAGGTATTTACTGACCTCAGGTACGTCGTATCTGTTGGGGTGAAATGTGTTAATATTTTAGGGGTTTATTGTTCTTAATTTTTATATATTTTTATTTTATTTTATTCTGTGTGTTAGTCTGTCTGTCTCTAATTCTATCACACATATTTATATTTATCTCTCTCTCTCTCTCTCTCTCTCTCTCTCTCTCTCTCTCTCTCTCTCTCTCTCTCTCTCTCTCTCTCTCTCTCTCACTACAAACAGCAGACACCATACCCAGCAGCCAGGGCTTCGAAGGACGCAGGTACGGCAGCAGACAGCAGCAGACGTCCGTGTCCTGTTGATTTAGCTTCCCCTTCAAACGCCATCCGTAGTTCTTTCAGAAAGTTGACGTAGTTGGCCTTGTCGTCTGGCCCTCGTGGGTACTGTAAGATAAAAGGTACAGTCAAGATAGTTATGTCGTGGTTACTCTTGTCTGAATCTTTGAAGGTTTAAGTAAGATTAATAGACTAATAATAATAAAATAAACATAACAGTAAGAGTAAGAGCGCAACACCTTACTCACCTCCCAATCAATATCCAGGCCGTCAAACTCATGGAGACGAAGGAATTCCAAGGCGTTGTAAACAAATCCGTTCATCCGGAATTGATTTGACACCAGGTCCCGGAAAGGCTTGGACCCAAATGCCCAGCCACCAAGAGCCAACATTACCTAGGGGGGACAAAATGAGGAGTTCAGGTGGTTTTGAGGACTTATGTGGGAATTACAGGTGTTTTAGGGGACACGTGGTAATTACAGGTGTTTTGGGGACACATGTGGAAATTACAGGTGTTTTAGAGGACAAATGTAGTAATTACAGGTATTTTGGGGAGACCTATCTGCTATTTGAGACACTTATCTACTATTTGGGACACTTCTCTACTATTTGGGACACTTCTCGACTATTTGGGACACTTCTCTACTATTTGGGACACTTCTCTACTATTTGGGACACTTCTCTACTATTTGGGACACTTCTCGACTATTTGGGACACTTCTCTACTATTTGGGATACTTATCTACTATTTGGGACACTTCTCTACTATTTGGGACACTTCTCTACTATTTGGGACACTTCTCTACTATTTGGGACACTTCTCTACTATTTGGGACACTTCTCTACTATTTGGGACACTTCTCGACTAATTACACAAGCCGAGGGAACTTCAACCACGTAAAGAGACCCAACAAATCCACACACACCTTCAGCTTGGGGTTCTTCTCCTTCAGTTTCATCAGACGGGTGTAGGTGCCCTCCTTAAACCCGTCGCCAGTGTCTGAAAGGTCTCCGGGCGCCAGGCGATAGTCCTCCATGCCGGCGAAGGCGTAGATGACGTGGGTACAGAGGAAGGGATCAATGTTCTCCGCTTCGAATCTTCCTGCACCTGGTCTCTTGACTGCCCAGGAGGTGAAGTAACATAGTACTTTGGGGGCGTCTCCTGTGTGGATGAGGGGGTGAGGTGAGTGATTGGGGGGTATGTGGAGGTGAGGTAGGGGAAAGGAGTGTGTGTGTGAAGGGAGGGGAGGGGATGTAAAGGGAGAGGAGGGGATGTAAAGGGAGAGGAGGGAAGAAGGGTGGGGGTAGTGATGGAGGGTAGTGTAACGGGGACAACAAAAGCAACACAGTAAAGATTTATTAAACACCTACAACAGATGGGAACACTTAACAACACACAACACACAACACACACACACACACACACACACACACACACACACACACACACACTACATCCTTGACCACCGAAGGGTCAAGACGTACCTGGCGCTCCTCTCGGAGCAGCCAGGTCAACTGTTAAGTTGGCCCAAACCAACTCCCTCCCCTGAACCCTTCCTCCCCACCGGAATATCAACAAGTTCACGCCAGAAGTTACTATTTCATTTAGGAAAGGAATGGAACCAGTGTTAAACAGAGGTGAACAGTGGTGAACAGTGCTCAAGTCAGTGAGAACAACTCAACAGTAACAGTCGCACCCAAGTTAACCTTCACACAGTTACCCAACAACCAGCGATGTGTTAATCCGTCTACGATAGGAAGGCCTGGGACCACACCTCACTCATATAACACCGTCTGTGAGGGAATTACTACACCACGTGAGGCCCCGCATAACACCATCTGTGAAGGAATTACTACACCACGTGAGGCCCCTCATAACACCATCTGTGAGGGAATTACTACACCACGTCAGGTCCCTCATAACACCATCTGTGAGGGAATTACTACACAACGTCAGGTCCCTCATAACACCATATGTGAAGGAGTTACTACACCACGTGAGGCCCCTCATAACACTACCTGTGAGGGAATTACTACACCACGTCAGGTCCCTCATAACACCATCTGTGAGGGAATTACTACACCACGTGAGGCCCCGCATAACACCATCTGTGAGGGAATTACTACACCACGTGAGGCCCCGCATAACACCATCTGTGAGGGAATTACTACCACGTGAGGCCCCTCACTTACCATCTGTGAGGGAATTACTACACCACGTGAGGCCCCTCATAACACCATCTGTGAGGGAATTACTACACCACGTGAGGCCCCGCATAACACCATCTGTGAGGGAATTACTACACCACGTGAGGCCTCTCATAACACCATCTGTGAGGGAATTACTACACCACGTGAGGCCCCTCATAACACCATCGGTGAGGGAATTACTACACCACGTGAGGCCCCTCATAACACCATCTGTGAGGGAATTACTACACCACGTGAGGACCCTCATAACACCATCTGTGAAGGAATTACTACACCACGTGAGGCCCCTCATAACACCATCTGTGAGGGAACTACTACACCACGTGAGGTCCCTCCTAACACCATCTGGGAGGGAGTTACTACACTATATTTTTGCTGTTCAACACCTACAATAATCTATATGTTCACTGTATGTTCCTTTACCTTTCTCTAATGAAGGCTTTTGTTAAACCACCAATGTATGTAATAAGTCATTTATGTCCAATGTATTTTCAGCCTTCGGGCTGCAGAACTTTCAATAAACCGTTAATTGTGTGTGTGTGTGTACACACACACACACACACACACACACACACACACTTTCCTTCACCCTTCGTTCAATTCTTTCTTCAGGTCTCTTTACTTACTCGGGGAGGACGGTGAGAGATCAATCCTGGCGGAGGCTTGCTTGGCTATGTTATTCTGTTGGTCCTTGAGTGCCATAGGGTCGATGGCTATGGGCGGTGGTAGAGTGGTGGGTGTGGCAATTGACGTCTTGGTTATTGATGACCAGTCCACGTCCTTACCTCCTCGTGGGATACCCATTAACTCCTCTCTGTAGGGGGAAGTAGAGTTAGATGGCGTGTTCGTAGGGGGAAGTGGAGTTAGGTAGACTGTCTGTAGAGGGAACAGGAGTTAGATAAACAGTACAATACCAACCTCATGATGCTCATTAGCGGGTATTTGACACCACCACCACACACGGTCCCGGTGAAGTCGTCCATATCAATCGTCCACACCATGGCTCCTCCAAACCCACCCTTCTTCAGCCATTGCATCTTATTCCTTATGGCTCTCTCGTCGTCGAAGCCAACCCATAACTTGTCTTTGACCATGTACGGCACCTGCATCTCCTCATGCCAAACGTACTCCCCGCCAGTTTGTAGTTGTTCACACACCTGTTGTAGGTTAAGATAACAGATGTCAACTCAGGTGTTGGTTTTTTTTTAGCATGTGTGTTTTTTGGGGGGAGAGGTTTGTTTGACCATCTCTAATGGTATTTATGTCGTTCTTGTTCTTATAGCCTTTCCCCACGACACCCCCACGACACCCCTCACACACTTCTCAAATGTTATTATATACTGCCAACAAATCACCCATCCATTACCCACACACCTCATAACCCCTCATTACCCACACTCCTCATCACCCCTCACTACCCACACCTCACCACTCACTACCCACACACCACCAACCCCACACCTCACCACCCACTACCCACCCTCCTCACCACCCACTACCCACACACCCCCACACTCCCCACACACCTCACCACACACCACCCACCTCGTAGTAAGACATGAAGCCTTCCTCACTCGTGTACTTGCCCGCCTCACCACCAGCACTAGCAGGAGAGTTAACGGCGTTCCTGGCGGGGTTGGACAGCGTGAAGCTCCTGCCGTAGGTGGGCATACCGATGATCAGCTTCTCCTTGGGCGCTCCTAACTTGACCCACCTGGAGACGTAGTTATATATGAGTGTGTGTGGCGGAGAGAGGGACGTAGTTATATATGAGGTACAAAGGGAAGGAGGGAGGTACAAAGGGAGGGATGGAGGTACAAAGGGAGGGAGGGAGGTACAAAGGGAGGGATGGAGAGTAGGGGGTGAGAAAGAGAGAGAGAGAGACGGCAGGAGGAAGGGAGGGGGGGGAAGGGTAAGATAAACACAAAGACTTAAGTTCAACATGAGAGAGAGAGAGAGAGAGAGAGAGAGAGAGCACAATACTCACAAGTTAGAGGCGTGGTCAACTGAGAGCTGTTTGCGCCACTCGGAGTCATCAGAGGGTGCGAAAAGAGGAGCATTATGACCTACGGTTTTCTCCCACTTGCCATGGAAATCGTACGCCATTACGTTGATAAAGTCCAAGTACCTGTAGGTGAATGTATAGGTTGTAATAGGTGAAGGTAGGTGCTTGGTTTGGGGTGATTTAGGTGTAGGTGGTGTAGTTGGTCAGGTTTTAGATGGTACATGAATAATACTAAATCTGGTACCTTAATATATTACAAGATGATGATGATGACGATGATAGTGGCAGTATGATGATGATGATTACAGTATAATGACGATGGTATATGATCATCTTCCAACAACCTTCCCGGAAGATCTTATACTAAATAACCTTTGACCCCATAAGATGACCTCCTAAACGACAGTACTCACGTGCAGACAGTAGGAACGTCGTAACCTCCACGGATGTTGTCAGGGCCTACAGGTACTGCCGCCGTCAGTAGCAGACGAGGCTGTGCCGTCTCCTTCGCCTCCGCCACAAACGCCTCCAAGAGCTCTGTTGGGGAGGACCACGTGCTTGTGTTTACATGCATCAGTTGATAGTGTTTACATCTGAGCTTGTGTAGGAGGACCACGTGGTATTGTTTACATGTATCAGCTGGTAGTGTTTACATCTGAGCTTCAGTAGGAGGACCACGTGGTATTGTTTACATGTATCAGCTGGTAGTGTTTACATCTGAGCTTCAGTAGGAGGACCAGAGTTACATTGAGACTCTACGTTAACCACTACTGAGGATGTGTTAGTCTACAAACAAACAAACAAATTGTGATGTTCTGTAACTCCTGACAAACACCATCCTCCCAAGGTCATGACGCAATGATGACATCACACAGAGACAACCAATGTACTTCCTGTAAAGATGGCAACATCACCCAGAAGTAACCAATAACCTTCCTATAAAAATAATGATGTCACCCAGACAATCAATGACCAACCAATGACCTCCCTATAAAAATAATGACGTCACTGAGTTGTAACCAATGAGCTTAGCGGTTTATGATGCGTTACCAGCCTTCATCTTTGTAAGGCAGCACATCTCCTGAATACCTAACTTGTTGTTGCTGCCGAGAATGACCTTGTGGTGCCGTTATAAGGTACAGAGAGAGACACAGACGTTTATTTATTTCAAAGTAATTTTGTTGGGGTTTAAATCTCTCTCTCTCTCTTCCTTCTCCCCCACCTCCCTTCTTTCTCTCTGTTTTTCTTTCTCCCCCTCCCCTCATCTCTCTCTCTCTCTCTCCATCCTTCCCCTTCCCCTCTCTCTCTCTCTCTCTCTTGTTAGGAGTCACCAGCTCATATAGGTGAAGCAGTTCTGTTCCTCCCTCACACACTAGACCTTCCCAGCTGTGTCTACCCACCCACCACCTCCACACCTGTTCAAGTCCACACCTGCTAAATCCAATATCTGTCACCCTTAAGGCCAAACTAGTCCTTAGAACTCTTGAGATCAAACTACCCCTTAAAACTCCCCCTTGAGATCAAACTACCCCTTAAAACTACCCCTTGAGGTCAGCTACCTTAAGAAAACTCCCCCTTGAGATCAAACTACCCCATAAAACTCCCCCTTGAGATCAAACTACCCTTTAATACTCACCCTTGAGGAGATGGACGAAGTTGGCCTTGTCGTCATTTCCCTTGGGGTATTCCCAGTCGAGGTCGAGACCATCGAAATCGTGTTGTCTCAAGAAGGCGATGGCGCTGTAGATGAACGTCTGGCGGGTGTAGCGATTGGCCGACATGTCCTTGAACTTCTTGGTACCGAAGGACCACCCACCTGTAGAAGGAGGAGGAGTGAACATCGTCAGGAGGGTGAGATGAGGAAGGAAGGTTGTAGGGAGGAGGAGGGAGAGGGGGGGAGGGGTCAGGAGTGTTGTAGGGAGGAGGGTGAGGAAGGTCGTAGGGGAGGAAGGTTTTGGAGGGGTCAGGAGGGGTCGTAGTGGGATGAGGAGGGTCGTACATTAATTAAATCATGATGGTGATCTGGAGAGAGAGAGAGAGAGAGAGAGAGAGAGCGACAGCCTCAACAAGGTCAATGGTAATACTTGAGAACAGAGAAAGAGAAACGAGAGAGATAGAGAGAGAGAGCCACAGCCTCAACAAGGTCAGTGGTAAGACTTAGGGCAATATTCTGTGCCACATAACAAACTCTCCATTTACCCTGAGTTTCTTTAACACACCTTCTGTTTACCTGTGTGCTGTTGTTAGAGTGCGTGTGTGTGTGTGTGTGTGTGAGAGAGTGTGTATGGTGTACAGTATGTATGTTAGTGTGCGTGTTTTGTGTGTGAGTGTGTATGGTGTACAGTATGTATGTTAGTGTGTGTGTGTGTGTGTGTGTGTGTGTGTGTGTGTGTGTGTGTGTGTGTGTGTTATCAATCTGGAAACTAAAGGAAAAAAAACAAGAACTTATCCAGCACCTGAGGGTAAATTGTGTGCTTAATCTTGGGTGGAAATGTGGTGGTGGTGATGGTGTATAGTGGTGGTGATGGTGTATAGTGGTGGTGATGGTATATAGTGGTGGTGATGGTGTATAGTGGTGGTGATGGTATATAGTGGTGGTGATGGTGTATAGTGGTGGTGATGGTTTATAGTGGTGGTGATGGTTTATAGTGGTGGTGATGGTTTATAGTGGTGGTGATGGTTTATAGTGGTGGTGATGGTTTATAGTGGTGGTGATGGTATATAGTGGTGGTGATGGTTTATAGTGGTGGTGATGGTATATAGTGGTGGTGATGGTTTATAGTGGTGGTGATGGTTTATAGTGGTGGTGATGGTTTATAGTGGTGGTGATGGTTTATAGTGGTGGTGATGGTATATAGTGGTGGTGATGGTTTATAGTGGTGGTGATGGTTTATAGTGGTGGTGATGGTTTATAGTGGTGGTGATGGTTTATAGTGGTGGTGATGGTTTATAGTGGTGGTGATGGTTTATAGTGGTGGTGATGGTATATAGTGGTGGTGATGGTTTATAGTGGTGGTGATGGTATATAGTGGTGGTGATGGTTTATAGTGGTGGTGATGGTTTATAGTGGTGGTGATGGTTTATAGTGGTGGTGATGGTTTATAGTGGTGGTGATGGTTTATAGTGGTGGTGATGGTTTATAGGTGGTGATGATGGTTTATATGGTGATGGTATATATGGTGGTGATGGTTTATAGTGGTGGTGATGGTTTATAGTGGTGGTGATGGTTTATAGTGGTGGTGATGGTGTATAGTGGTGGTGATGGTTTATAGTGGTGGTGATGGTTTATAGTGGTGGTGATGGTTTATAGTGGTGGTGATGGTATATAGTGGTGGTGATGGTATATAGTGGTGGTGATGGTTTATAGTGGTGGTGATGGTTTATAGTGGTGGTGATGGTTATATAGTGGTGGTGATGGTTTATAGTGGTGGTGATGGTTTATAGTGGTGGTGATGGTATATAGTGGTGGTGATGGTTTATAGTGGTGGTGATGGTTTATAGTGGTGGTGATGGTTTATAGTTGGTGATGGTATATAGTGGTGGTGATGGTTTATAGTGGTGGTGATGGTTTATAGTGGTGGTGATGGTATATAGTGGTGGTGATGGTATATAGTGGTGGTGATGGTTTATAGTGGTGGTGATGGTATATAGTGGTGGTGATGGTTTATAGTGGTGGTGATGGTTTATAATGGTGGTGATGGTTTATAGTGGTGGTGATGGTTTATAGTGGTGGTGATGGTTTATAGTGGTGGTGATGGTTTATAGTGGTGGTGATGGTTTATAGTGGTGGTGATGGTTTATAGTGGTGGTGATGGTTTATAGTGGTGGTGATGGTATATAGTGGTGGTGATGGTTTATAGTGGTGGTGATGGTTATATAGTGGTGGTGATGGTATATAGTGGTGGTGATGGTATATAGTGGTGGTGATGGTTTATAGTGGTGGTGATGGTTATAGTGGTGGTGATGGTTTATAGTGGTGGTGATGGTTTATAGTGGTGGTGATGGTATATAGTGGTGGTGATGGTATATAATGGTGGTGATGGTATATAGTGGTGGTGATGGTTTATAGTGGTGGTGATGGTATATAGTGGTGGTGATGGTTTATAGTGGTGGTGATGGTATAGTGGTGGTGATGGTTTATAGTGGTGGTGATGGTATATAGTGGTGGTGATGGTATATAGTGGTGGTGTGGTTATATTTGGTGATGGTGTATAGTGGTGGTGATGGTTTATAGTGGTGGTGATGGTTTATAGTGGTGGTGATGGTTTATAGTGGTGGTGATGGTATATAGTGGTGGTGATGGTTTATAGTGGTGGTGATGGTTTATAGTGGTGGTGATGGTTTATAGTGGTGGTGATGGTATATAGTGGTGGTGATGGTTTATAGTGGTGGTGATGGATATAGTGGTGGTGATGGTTATAGTGGTGGATGGTTTATAGTGGTGTGATGGTTTATAGTGGTGGTGATGGTATATATTGGTGATGGTTTATAGTTGGTGATGGTATAGTGGTGGTGATGGTTATAGTGGTGTGGTTTATAGTGGTTGATGGTTTATAGTGGTGGTGATGGATAGTGGTGGTGATGGTTTATAGTGGTGGTGATGGTTTATAGTGGTGGTGATGGTATATAGTGGTGGTGATGGTTTATAGTGGTGGTGATGGTTTATAGTGGTGGTGATGGTTTATAGTGGTGGTGATGGTTTATAGTGGTGGTGATGGTATATAGTGGTGGTGATGGTATTATAGTGGTGGTGATGGTTTATAGTGGTGGTGATGGTTTATAGTGGTGGTGATGGTTTATAGTGGTGGTGATGGTGTATAGTGGTGGTGATGGTATATAGTGGTGGTGATGGTTTATAGTGGTGGTGATGGTATATAGTGGTGGTGATGGTTTATAGTGGTGATGTTGGGTTATAGTGGTGGTGATGGTATATAGTGGTGGTGATGGTATATAGTGGTGATGGTTTATAGTGGTGGTGATGGTTATAGTGGTGGTGATGGTTTATAGTGGTGGTGATGGTATAGTGGTGGTGATGGTATATAGTGGTGGTGATGGTTTATAGTGGTGGTGATGGTTTATAGTGGTGGTGATGGTTTATAGTGGTGGTGATGGTTTATAGTGGTGGTGATGGTGTTATAGTGGTGGTGATGGTTTATAGTGGTGGTGATGGTATATAGTGGTGGTGATGGTATATATAGTGGTGGTGATGGTTTATAGTGGTGGTGATGGTTTATAGTGGTGGTGATGGTTTATAGTGGTGGTTGGTTAAGTGGTGGGATGTAGTGGTGGTGATGGTATATAGTGGTGGTGATGGTATATAGTGGTGGTGATGGTTTATAGTGGTGGTGATGGTTTATAGTGGTGGTGATGGTTTATAGTGGGTGGTGATGGTTTATAGTGGTGGTATTGGTTTATAGTGGTGGTGATGGTTTATAGTGGTGGTGATGGTTTATAGTGGTGGTGATGGTTTATAGTGGTGGTGATGGTTTATAGTGGTGGTGATGGTTTATAGTGGTGGTGATGGTTTAGTGGTGGTGATGGTTTATAGTGGTGGTGATGGTATATAGTGGTGGTGATGGTTTATAGTGGTGGTGATGGTTTATAGTGGTGGTGATGGTTTATAGTGGTGGTGATGGTATATAGTGGTGGTGATGGTTTATAGTGGTGGTGATGGTTTATAGTGGTGGTGATGGTTTATAGTGGTGGTGATGGTTTATAGTGGTGGTGATGGTGTATAGTGGTGGTGATGGTGTATAGTGGTGGTGATGGTGTATAGTGGTGGTGATGGTGTATAGTGGTGGTGATGGTTTATAGTGGTGGTGTTGGTGGTGCATGGTAGCGTGATGGTGGTGGTAGTAGTAGTAGTAGTTACAGTACAGTACCACCCTTAACACACTCACCCAGTGCCAACAGAACTTTCAGCTTAGGATTCTGAGCCTTGAGACCATTTATCTGCTCATAGAATCCTGTCTTGCCGTCTTTGGATTCATCATTGGCTTCGAACGACGAGAGCTTCCCCTTCTTCATCCACCCGAAGGCGTAGATGATGTGGGTGCAGAGGAAGGGGTCGATGTGTTCCGGTAGAAACTTGGCGATCTTGGGGCGATACTGAGACCAATTGGTGTAGTAACACACAACCTGTTGACGAAGAGGGGGAGGTGGGTGGGAGGGGTGGGAGGGGTGAGAGGGTGGGGAGGGGTGGTGGTGGTGGGGGTGGTGGTGAGGTGTGGTGGTGGGAGGTGGTGGTGAGGTGGTGGTGGGGGTGTGGTGGTGGTGGGGGTGGTGGTGGGGGTGGTGGTGGTGGGGGTGGTGGGGAGTTGGTGGTGGGGGTGGTGGTGGTGGGGGGTGGTGGGGTGGTGGGGGGGGGGGGGGGGGGTGGTGGTGGGGGGTGGTGGGTGGTGAGGGGTGTGGTGGTGAGGGGTGGTGGTGAGGGGTGGTGGTGAGGGGTGGTGGTGGGGGTGGTGGTGAGGGGTGATGGTGGTGGTGGGGGTGGTGGTGGGGGTTGTTGTGGTAGTGGTGGTGGGTGGTAAATGGTATTAGTGGTGGTAGGGGAGTGACTGACTGACTGGTGGAGTGAAATACAGGTTGTAGTAAAGAGAACTGACCTAACTCGATCCAGAATTGACCTGACTTGACCTCTCTTACCTTATAGTCGGGTTCACCGGAGGAACTGACCGCCTGATTCCTGCGAGTGGCGGCTGCGGGTCTGATGCGGGGACGAACCTGCGGGAGGGAGGGTAAGGTCAAGGTCAAAGTTCAAGTGGTTCTCATCTACACACACACACACACACACTGAACACTCAACCACACGTACATACATACAGTACACATAACACACACTACACACACACACACACACACACTGAACACCCAACCACACGTACATACATACAGTACACATAACACACACTACACACACACACACACACAACCACACGTACACATACAGTACACATAACACACACTACACACACACACACACACACACTCACCCTCGCTCTGTTTCTTGAAGAAGTCGCTCCTGCAGCGGCTGGCCTTCTCCTGCGTACGGCGTTAGTGTTACCACCAGCAGGAAGTCGCGTCCTTCCTACAGTATTGGCCACAGCGGTCTCGGTCTGCACAGAGGCCGCGGTCTGTTGGCCTTGGTCTGGCTGCCCCAAACGGAATCTAGATCGCCCACGAAGGCTTCTCTCTGTGAAGGAGGAGGAGGAGAGGTGTTAATGTACTGTATGTGTGTCAGTCTCTCTTCCAGGTAACGCGTCAGTTTATATCAACTCCTACTATTACTACTACTAATAATATGGAAAATAACAATGAAAAAATAATTCTCAAAAAAATAACAAAAACAAATAACAACAATAACCAAGACGATAATAAAAACACCAAAATTAACAAAGGGCATCACTATGGTACGGATCCTGACGGTGTGTGTCTGGGGGCAGGCATATCACACATGATCAAAACAATCACACCTGCATATCACACATGATGCATAGCATATGACACCTATAATCAGGCCAACATATTCACACATGTCACTAACATAGACCACATTACTACATGTCAGAACATAGTACCACAATCAAACATATCACCACACCTGTCAAACATATCCCACCACACCTGTCAAACATAGCAACACACTCCAAACATAGCCCACACACATCCAAACATAGCCCACCACACCTGTCAAACATAGCCCACCACCTGTCAAACATAGCTCACCACACCTGTCAAACATAGCCCACCACACCTGTCAAACATAGCCCACCACACCTGTCAAAACTATAGCCCAACACACCTGTCAAACATAGCCCACCACACCTGTCAAACATAGCCCACCACCTGTCACAATCGACCACCTTTCTGGCCCCCTATCTTAAACCACCTTTCACCAGTGTTGCCAAGTTGGACATTTCACCCTACCATAAACTTCAGCCTGAGAAAAGGTCGCCATCTCCCCAGACAAACACTCCCCTGACCCCCACACTGACCACCCCCATACCACCCCACACCCACCCCCACACTATTTCCCACTGACCCCACCCCCCACCGTCTCTGGTGTTAACTGAGGTCATTCCTCCTGCCATGACCTGATCTGTCACAACATACAGCCTAACACACACACACACACACACACACATACAACAGTAATAAATCAATACAACACTACCGAAATACATTAACACATACAGTATAATAATACATTCATACAGACGTAGTAATAACATAAATACAGTTGACTAGTGTTGGACCTGTAAAATACGTTACTGAAAGACATTACAAGGAAACAACCAACGATACAGCATAGAAATAATACAACACTAGTGTATGTTACTGTAATTTTGGACTACAGCTTAGCGTACGAGAGAGAGAGAGAGAGAGCAAATTAAACCACCTAACGCTACTTACTTAGTTAGTTAGTTAGGTAGAATTCACTATTATGCTCAGTAATGAACAAGAGAAGTTCACCGTATCAGTGTTCAGATGTGAGGTTGAACCAGAACAAGAAAACAATGGTTACGGTACACACAATGGTTCGTTCATGACCCGTGATTGGTCAGCCCGTGAGGTAAACAAAACTCACCAGTCAATCACCATTCATCTCAAGGTGTAATTATGACCCATATATTAAGTTCTATCTGAGAGTAAAAATAAAATCACCCGGTTTATTTATTCAATCAAAGTTTTTCTCTGAGGTTTAAAAATTCTTAATACGGACGAAATATTGTGAGAAAAACTTGTCCGAAACCGTGGGTAATGGCTGAGTGGACTGGCTGGGCCGTCGTGCTTTGCTTTCACTTTCCATGGACTTGTCTCAATCATTTCGTCTTGGCTTCGACTTCCCTTATACACTCTTGTCTGTTAGGATGGTTGAATCTGTAGCCGAAGTCAATGATCTATAGTGACAGTATCGAACATCATCTAGACTTCTTGTTAATAATTGTCATTCACTGTCTAAACACACACACACACACACACACGGGTATATCATTAATAGCAGGTGTGTGTGTGTATGGATGTGTGTATATGTGCACGTGGGGGTTAGGTATCTGTGTCTGTCTGTGTGTGTGGGTTGGTCAGGTGTGTGGTAATCATATATGACTGAATGATATACTTTCTCTCTCTCTCTCTCTCTCTATCTTCACTTATCTGTCTACTGAAGTTTTGTTGAGGCTACAAACACAACACAGCAGGAGGGAGGGGATGAGGGGGGTGAGAGGGGGGAGGAGGAGAGGGGTGAGAGGGGTGGAGGGAGGAGAGGGAGGAGAGGGGGAGGGTGAGAGGGGGTGGAGGGGGAGAGGGCTGAGAGGGGTGGGGAGAGGGGTGGAGGGGGGTGAGGGAGGAGGGGTGGAGAGAGGGGGGGAGAGGGGGGAGGGGGGTGAGGGAGGAGGTGAGGTGGAGGGGGGGGAGGGGGTGGGAGGAGGGTGGGGAGGGGGGGGAGAGGGGTGGAGAGGGAGTGAGAGGGTGGAGAGAGGGTGGAGGGGTGAGGGAGAGGGAGGAGAGTGGGAGGTGGAGGGGGGTGAGAGGGAGGAGGGTGGGAGAGGGGTGAGAGGGGGGGGGGAGGGGAGGGGTGGAGGGGGTGGGGAGAGGAGGGGTGGGGAGGGTGGGGAGTGGAGGGTGGGGGGGAGAGAGAGGGGGGGAGGGGTGGAGGGGTGAGAGGGGGGTGAGGGGGGTGGAGGGGGTGAGGGAGGGGGGAGGGGGGGGTGAGAGGGGTGGAGGGGGAGGGTGGAGGAGGGGGGTGGAGGGGGGTGGGGGGGGTGGGGAGAGGGTGGGGAGGGTGGGGAGGGGGTGGAGGGGGTGGGAGGGGGGGGGTGAGGAGGGGTGGAGGGGGTGGGAGAGGGGTGGGGAGGGGTGGAGGGGGTGGGAGGGGGTGGGAGGGGGTGGGGAGGGGTGGAGGGGGGTGGGAGAGAGGGAGAGGGTGTGAGGAGGGTGGAGGGTGGGAGAGGGGTGGAGGGTGGGAGAGGGAGGGGGTGAGAGGGTGGAGGGGGGTGAGGGGGTGTGGGGGTGGAGGGGGGTGAGAGGAGGGGGTGGAGGGGGTGAGAGGGTGGAGGGGTGAGAGGGGGGTGGGAGGGAGGGGTGAGAGGGGTGGAGGGTGAGAGGGGTGGAGAGGGGTGAGAGGGGGTGGAGGGAGGGTGGAGGGGGAGGAGGGTGGAGGAGGGTGAGAGGGGGGGGTGGAGGGGAGGGGGGGGGTGAGGGGGGAGGGGTGGAGGGGGGTGAGAGGGAGGGGGGTGAGGGAGGGAGGGGGTGAGGGGTGTGAGGAGGGGGGTGAGAGGGTGGAGGGTGAGAGGAAGGAGGAGGGAGGGAGGGAGAGAGGGTGGAGGTGGGTGAGAGGCCAGGGTGGGGAGTCGTTAAGTAGAATTACAATGACATCATGTCTCTTCTACCCCCCCTTCCTTCCCTCACACTCCCTCCCCCTCACGTCCCACACACACTCATGTCTCTCTCTATCTCAGTCATGTCTCTAACTGTCATGTCTCTTACTCAGTCATGTCTCACTGTCATGTCTCTCTCTCTCTCACTCATGTCTCTCTCTCAGTCATGTCTCTCTCTCACTCATGTCTCTCTCTCTGTCATGTCTCTCACTCAGTCATGTCTCTCACTCAGTCATGTCTCTCACTCAGTCATGTCTCTCACTCTCATATCACTGGGAAAGTCGTCAGATGGATTTCCGTGAGAAAATGACTTGTATTTTTTTTCCATCTTGCTAAAACAAAAAACAAATTCATTTTAAATCTTTTTTTTTTTTACAACTAGATGTGAGAAGGAGGTATTTTATTTATGTTATTCATTCTATTGTTTTTTTTTATTTCTTGTATAACGTTTAATTAATAATAATGATAAAAAACAAAATGTGGTTTCTCAACACCGACCTAGATATCACCTCGGCCAATCAACAGCCACCTCACTTAGGAATAGCTGAAACCAACCAATCACAAGATTTCTCATACACTACTGATTGTTTAGATTAAATTAACCTGACGTCATAAATGAAGTTATTGCTGTGTGTGACGTCACTGATAGACACAGGTGTGGCTAAGGCTTCGCTATAAATTTAATACAGTAAAATTTTACGAACTAGAATCAATCTGAAAGACACAGGAGTGACAAGACTGATCAGCGGCTGGGAACGTGACCTCAAACGTGACATCACTTACACTCGATTGGTCAGAAGCTATTCCCATGACGTCACACATGACTGACTTCTGATTGGCCGAGCTAGCCACGTGACGTCACTCCCGAATGAAACGTGATTGGTGTGACGGTCGTCTCAGGGGAAGCAGTTGTACATTATTCGGCGAGTAAAAATATATAAGCGAGAGAGAGAGAGAGAGAGAGAGAGAGAGAAAGAGAGAGAGAGAGAGAGCTATCTATCATTCTATTTACTCGATAGTTTCAATAGATATCGAGTCATACGTCATCAATCAGCTGACGGAATGTAAACAAAGAGGGAGATGCCAGATGCACGACACACACGTATCCTTTAGCAACAGGTGTATGAGGTGACGTCACACAGGTGTCTCCCAGGTAATATTAAATGACGATGGGGTCTAGAAACATAACTGAGGGCTAGAAACATAACTGAGGGGGTCTGGAAACATAACTGGGGTCTAGAAACACAACTGGGGGTCTAGAAACACAACTGGGGTCTAGAAACACAACTGGGGGTCTAGAAACACAACTGGGGTCTAGAAACACAACTGGGGGTCTAGAAACACAACTGGGGTCTAGAAACACAACTGGGGGTCTAGAAACATAACTGGGGGTCTGAAACAACTGGGGGTCTAGAAACACAACTGGGGTCTAGAAACACAACTGGGGGCTAGAAACACAACTGGGGGTTAGAAACACATCTGGGGATGTAGAAACATAACTGGGGGTCTAGAAACACAACTGGGGTCTAGAAACACCGGGGTTTAGGAAACACAACTGGGGTCTAGAAACATAACTGGGGTCTGGAAACACAACTGGGGTTAGAAACACAACTGGGGGCTAGAAACACAACTGGGGGCTAGAACAACTGGGGTCTAGAAACAAACTGGGGGTCTAGAACACAACTGGGGGTCTGGAAACACAACTGGGGTCTAAAACATAACTGGGGTTCAGAAACACAACTGGGGCTAGAAACATAACTGGGTCTAGAAACACAACTGGGGGCTAGAAACATAACTGGGGCTAGAAACACAACTGGGGGTCTAGAAACATAACTGGGGCTCAGAAACACAACTGGGGGCTGAAACACAACTGGGGGCTGGAAACACAACTGGGGATGTAGAACATAACTGGGGTCTAGAAACACAACTGGGGGCTAGAAACATAACTGGGGTCTAGAAACACAACTAGGTTTAGAAACACAACTGGGGTCTAGAAACAACTGGGGATGTAGAAACATAACTGGGGGTCTGGAAACACAACTGGGGGTCTAGAAACACAACTGGGGCTAGAAACACAACTGGGGGTTAGAAACACATGGTCTAGAAACACAACTGGGGTCTAGAAACACAACTGGGGGTCTGGAAACACAACTGGGGTCTAGAAACACAACTGGGGGCTAGAAACACAACTGGGGGCTAGAAACACAACTGGGGTCTAGAAACACAACTGGGGGTCTAGAACACAACTGGGGTCTGAAACACAACTGGGGTCTAGAAACAACTGGGGCTAGAAACACAACTGGGGTCTAGAAACATAACTGGGGTCTAGAAACACAACAGTCTAGAAACATAACTGGGGTCTAGAACACAACTGGGGGAAACATACTGGGGTTGTGGTAGAAACACAACTGGGGGTCTAGAAACAAACTGGATGTAGAAACATAACTGGGGTCTAGAAACACAACTGGGGGCTAGGAAGGGGTCAACACAACTGGGGGTCTAGAAACATAACTGGGGTCTAGAAACACAACTGGGGGTCTAGAAACACAACTGGGGGTTCAGCACAACTGGGGATGAAACATAATGGGGTCAGAAACACAACTGGGGCTAGAACATAACTGGAGGTTTAGAAACACAACTGGGGGTGACCAACTAGAAACAACTGGGGTCTAGAAACACAACTGGGTCTGGAAACACAACTGGGGGTCTAGAAACACAACTGGGGGCTAGAAACATAACTGTGGGTCTAGAAACACAACTGGGGCTCAGAAACATAACTGGGTCTAGAAACACAACTGGGGGTCTAGAAACACAACTGGGGGCTAGAACATAACTGGGGGCTTAGAAACACAACGGGTCAAAACATAGGGGTCTAGAAACACAACTGGGGTCTAGAAACATAACTGGGGGTCTAGAACACACTGGGGGTCTAGAAACAATGGGGGTCTAGAAACATAACTGGGGTCTAGAAACACAACTGGGGGTCTAGAACACAACTGGGGGTCTAGAAACACAATGGGGTCTGGAACACGTCTAGAAACATAACTGGGGGTCTAGAAACATAATGGGGCAGAAACACAACTGGGGGTTAGAAACACAACGTCTAGAAACACAACTGGGGGTCTGAAACACAACTGGGGTCTAGAAAGACAACTGAGGGTCTAGAAACATAACTGGGGTCTAGAAACACAACTGGGGTCTAGAAACACAACTGGGGGTCTGGAAACACAACTGGGGTCTAGAAACACAACTGGGGGCTAGAAACATAACTGGGGTCTAGAACACAACTGGGGGCCTAGAAACACAACTGGGGGCTAGAAACATAACTGGGGTCTAGAAACACAACTGGGGGTCTAGAAACATAACTGGGGTCTAGAAACACAACTGGGGTCTAGAAACATAACTGGGGGTCTAGAAACACAACTGGGGTCTAGAAACACAACTGGGGTCTAGAAACACAACTGGGGGTCTGGAAACACAACTGGGGGCTAGAAACATAACTGGGGGTCAGAAACACAACTGGGGTCTAGAAACATAACTGGGTCTAGAAACACAACTGGGGTCTAGAACATAACTGGGGGTCTAGAAACACAACTGGGGTCTAGTAACATAACTGGGGGTCTAGAAACACAACTGGGGGTCTAGAAACAAACTGGGGTCTAGAAACACAACTGGGGGTCTAGAAACACAACTGGGGGTCTAGAAACATAACTGGGGTCTAGAAACACAACTGGGGGTCTAGGAAACACAACTGGGGGTCTAGAAACATAACTGGGGTCAGAACACAACTGGGGTCTAGAAACACAACTGGGGTCTAGAAACACAACTGGGGGTCTAGAAACACAACTGGGGGTCTAGAAACATAACTGGGGTCTAGAAACACAACTGGGGTCTAGAAACACAACTGGGGGTCTAGAAACATAACTGGGGGTCTAGAAACATAACTGGGGTCTAGAAACATAACTGGGGTCTAGTAACATAACTGGGGTCTAGAAACACAACTGGGGGTCTAGTAACATAACTGGGGTCTAGAAACATAACTGGGGGTCTAGTAACATAACTGGGGGTCTAGAAACACAACTGGGGTCTAGAAACATAACTGGGGGTCTAGAAACATAACTGGGGTCTAGAAGCATAACGGGGGGGGCTAGAAATAGATGGTTGTTGAGTCGCCCTATTCTTACCTTTCTCCAGAGGTGAAAGCCGCCAGCAGCGCAGCTCCCAGCAGGAGCCACCTTGGCCTCTGTTAAATGATAATGAAATATGTTAAAAAAATATAAATAAGAGAGAGAGAGAGAGAGAGAGAGAGAGAGAGAGAGAGAGAGAGAGAGAGGGAGGGGAGGAGGGGAGAGAGAGAGAGAGAGAGAGAGAGAGAGAGAGAGAGAGAGAGAGAGAGAGAGAGAGGGGAGGAGGGGGAGAGAGAGAGAGAGAGGAGGGAGGGGGAGAGGGGAGAGAGAGAGAGAGAGAGAGAGAGAGAGAGAGAGAGAGAGAGAGAGAGAGAGAGGGGGGGGAGGAGGAGAGAGAGGGGGAGAGAGAGAGAGAGAGAGAGAGAGAGAGGGGGGAGGGGGGGAGAGGGGAGAGAGGGGAGAGAGAGAGAGAAATTGACAAATATGTATTATTATCAAGAGGGAAGGTGTGCGTTATGTGGAAACTTAACCTAACCTCTCTTAAGACCTTCCCTGGGGCCTATTGCCTTAAGGTACACACACACACACACACACACACACACACACACACTCTCTCTCTCTCTCTCACACACACACACACACACTCTCTCACCTGCTGTTGATAAGGGAGAGACTGGAGGTTAATTCCTCCCTCCCTCCCTTCCCCCAGACGATGTGTTGGGGAGGCTAGGGAGGTGGGGGTGGAAGAGGGGTGAAGGAGGGTGAAGGTAGGAGCCATTGAAATAAAAATGGAAGGAAGGGAGGGAAAGAAAGAAGGGAGGGAAGGGAGGGAAAGAAAGAAGGAGGGCGAGGAAAGAAAGAAGGAGGAGGAGGGAAAGAAAAAGAAGGGGAGGGAAGGAGGAAAGAAAGAAGGGAGGGAGGGAGGAAAGAAAGAAAAAGAAGGGAGGGAAAGAAAAAAGGGAGGGGAGGGAGGGAAAGAAAAAAAGAAGGGAGGGAAGGGAGGGAAAGAAAGAAGGGAGGGAAGGGAGGGAAAGAAAGAAGGGAGGGAAGGGAGGGAAAGAAAGAAGGGAGGGAAGGGAGGGAAAGAAGAAGGGAGGGAACCTGATATACTACACACAGGTAATCAAGAAGGGAAACTTGTATATACATAATGAACCTCACCTTGACCATGGCAGGTATCGTCAGGTAATGAGCCCACTCACACCTGTCCATCCATCTTGCTGTGTCTACCTGTATCGTAGTTTGGGGTCTAAATAACGCGTAGTTTGGGGTCTAAATAACGTGTAGTTTGGGGTCTAAATAAGGCGTAGTTTGGGGTCTAAATAACGCGTAGTTTGGGGTCTAAATAAGGCGTAGTTTGGAGTCTAAATAACGCGTAATTTGGGGTCTAAATAACGCGTAGTTTGGGGTCTAAATAAAGCGTAGTTTGGGGGTCTAATGATGGTAAACTAAAGGCCGTAGTTTAAGAGTAGATGTTGTTTATATGGGAGAGGGTAGTTAACCACGTGTATTTGGTAGTTTATCGTACAATTACACGTCAGAAAACAACTAAACTTGTCAATTTTTCTTGTTTTTTTTTATTCCCTTCAAGTTTATCGACCAAACAGGAGGATATAGAAAGAAATACGTTTGTCTGTCTGTCAGTGATCGAGGTTTTTCTTCCGTTGCCAAAGTGTGGTTGCGACTCATTGGCCAAGAGACAGCCAATGAGCTTCTACGAATTGTAATGGTGGGTACAATGTGGGCGGGGCTTACCGATGGACCTGCTGTTGTTGTTGTTGTTGTTAAGCACTGTTCACTAGGTCTTAGTTTTTGGTAACTCTCTCTCTCTCTCTCTCTCCGCGTTTCATCTCTCTCTCTTGGTCTCTCTCTCTCTCCTACAAAGTTTCGTGAATCCTCTCTCTCTCTCTCTCTCTCACAGACAAAGTGTGAATCTCTCTCTCTCTCTCTCTTTCTCCAAGTTTCGTGAATCCTCTCTCTCTCTCTCTCAAGTGTGAATCTTCTCTCTCTCTCTGTTTCTCCTCTCTCGTTCTCTCTCTCTCTCACTTTCAGCACACGACCTTCAACGACCGCCCGACATGAAGGCATTTCCAACTCCTTTATGCTCAGGGCAATTCTGTCTCATTCACTACCTCCACCAGATGGACTGACCGATAGAGCCTGACCGACGGACCGACACATACTGAAGGAGATATGCCCGACAGAATGGATGGAATGGAGCTGCAATCCCGACGAATACAGAGAGAGAGAGAGAAAGAGAGAGAGACTAGCCGAGGGAAACTTGTTACACGACAGCCGACAGCCCGGAGGCGGTGAATGATCCAGTCGCTTGTCTTAAACCTGATACCTGTCTCACCTGTCGATACTGCCTGTCTACCTGTCTACCCCACCTGTCAACAGTGAGGATGGCTGTCTTCGTGTGTGTGTGTGTGTGTGTAGTTGGGTCTTCATGTGCATTAATTATGTTGAATATGTACACATACACACACACACACACACACACATACATACACTTCTTTCTATCAGACACAGACAGACAGACATACAGACACAGACAGAGAGACACAGACACACACAGACAGACAGACAGACATACAGACAGACAGACAGACAGACACAGACAGACAGACAGACAGAGACAGACAGACACAGACAGACACATACAGACACACAGACACAGACAGACACATACAGACAGACACAGACAGACAGACAGACACCAAAAAACTACTGTACACTATCCCAAGAAAGTAAAAAAAGTGAAATAGATTAAAACTGAAAAAAAAAATATATAAATAAAATAAAACAATATAGGTAAAATATACAAGAGATTAATTATATTACTATAGAAAATATAGTTTAAAAGGACAGACAGACGTGAAATATAGAGCATAATACAATAAAGTAAATAAATTAAAATAGATGAAATTTGAGGGAAATAGTTGGTGATAGCCTTATACGTCATCTCCTAGCTGAGCTGTGATTGGCTAGCTACATCAGATAACAACCAATAACGTGAGATTAAAGGATAAATCTAATATATCCTGTGATTGGCTATCTGTGAAAATACGTCATCAACCTAAACTCTCATTGGCTGGTTATAAAAAAGATACAAACCAATCACGTGTCTTAAATTATAAACGTCATCTGGGTGAACTGTGATTGGCCAGTCGTGAGAAATAATGTAAACAGTGCATTTTAAAAAGGAAAGGAGAGAGAGACGGATGATATTTAGAAAGTGGTGTTTGTGGTGATAATGGCGGTGTTATGAGCATGAGACTTGGAGTGTTCTTGGTGATTGTCAGGCCATAAAATTCTCTTGAAGTATTCGTGTCTGTCTGTCTGTCTGTCTGTCTGTCTAATATCTGTGTGTGTGTGTGTGTGTGTGTGTGTGTGGGAGAGAGAAAGAGAGAATGTATGCGTGACTAAAGAGAAAACACACACACACACACACACACACACACACACACACACACCTCCCACAAAACACACATATCATTTCCCTTCCTTCATTATCTATTTCATTTCCTTCATTTCGTTCGCATTATCTTCCTTCCTTCACTTCCTTCACTCTCTTTTTCACTTCCTTCACTCCCTCTTTCACTTCCTTCTCTCCTTCCTTCACTTCCTCCTCCTTCTTTCACTTCCTTCACTCCTTCCTTCACTTCCTTCACTGGTTGGTCATACGAGGTGTGCCGAGAAAGTGTGAAGCTCATGGCTACTTGACAAATGTGTTACGGACCTGCGATTGTGGTAGTTGTGGTGGTAGTGGTAGTAGTTGGTAGTAGTGGTAGTAGTGGTGGTAGTAGTGGTAGTAGTGGTGGTGGTAGGTAGTGGTGGTGGTATTAGTAGTAGTGGTAGTAGTGGTGGTGGTAGTAGTAATTGGTAGTAGTGGTAGTAGTAGTGGTAGTAGTAGTAGTAGTAATAAAACTGATAACAATTCAACCAACAATAAAATCAACCCAAAATGACAACTTAACAAAAAAAATGGGACCAATTCAACCATAATCACACTGTAGTCAACCATCCTCTCACCAAAACTCGTACTTCTTCCTTTACTCCACCAAACACAGTTATAAGGTCGCTTCTCCCCTTAACTGGCTCTCGTAAACCCTTTGAGACCTAAGGGTTAAATAATCATCAGAGTCGTGAAAGGGTTATGTAAGTGTCGTAGAGGGTTAAATTATAGTCGCCAAAGGGTTTAAATCATCGTCGTCAAGGGTTAAATCATAGTCTTCAAAGGGTTAATTCATCGTCGTCAAAGGGTTAATCATCGTCCTCAAAGGGTTAAATCATCGTCTTCAAAGGGTTAAAACATCGTCCTCAAAGGGTTAAATCATCGTCTTCAAGGGTTAAATCATCGTCCTCAAAGTTAATCATGTCCTCAAAGGGTTAAATCATCGTCTTCAAAGGGTTAAATCATCGCCGTCATCGAACCGTGATTATATAAGATCTGAATAAATTATAGTGTGTGTGTGTGTGTGTGTGTGTGTTTCTCTCTTACGTTGAGGACGATGATTTAACCCTTTGAGGACGATGATTTCACCTTTGAGGACGATGATTTAACCCTTTGAGGACGATGATGTAACCTGGGACGATGATTTAACCCTTTGAGGACGATGATTTAACCCTTTGACGACGATGATTTAACCCTTTGAGGATGATTTAACCCCTTTGGGACGATGATTAACCCTTTAGGACGATGATTTAACCTTTGAGGACGATGATTTAACCCTTTGAGGACGATGATTTAGTTATTTGAGGACGATGATTTAACCTTTGAGGACGATGATTTAAGGGATATAAATAGAAGACCCAGTTATCATGAGAGAGAAGAGTGGAGTTATTCTATGCCATTATTTCTTGTGGTTGGGAAAAATGCTGGGTGGGGCAGTGGTTTGTTGTGTGTGTGTATGTGTGTGTGTGTGTGTGTGTGTGTGTGTGTGTGGGTGTGTGGGGTGTGTGTGTGTGTGTATGTGTGTGTGTGTGTGTGTGTGTGTGTGTGTGTGTGGTAAGGTGCGTCAGAAAGGAAGTAATGTGGCTATCTGACCAATACTGCACGCCTGACTGTACACACACACACACACACACACACACACATACACAACAAAAGTTC